CAGAACGTTGTTTCGTCAACAAACTAAAAGCTGAAGCGGCTATTGTAATGTAAATGCATTAATTTATTTTATATAATTTAGACTTTTGGGTCGTAATTCAAAAGCCGGATGAGTTTAAATGCGCACCATATTTCTGTATTTTCAAACCAGATATCACCATAATCGAATTGCTTGTGAAACTGATTAAGTGATTATTATGTGTAGAATACGATGCGTTAGTAAACAGGCGTGTGGTCGAACATCCGCCAATCGAATAGCTATGATGATCAGGTGTACCGTTCAAGGTGTAATGTCAAGAGTGATTATCACTGTTCGGATAATAAGGATACAATATCAAAGTAATAATGTATGTATCTACTTTTAACAATTACACTTATCAACTAAAATTAGATAAACGTTGTGTAAAGAATGCCAAAGAGTTAAAACCGATCAAAGTCGACTATAGTTTGCTCGACTCCATGATAAATTATGACTTAAATTGATTTCAAAAACTTACAATAATGAGCTTGTAAAGGTTGTAGTACAGATTCAATATTAAGTTCAGAGTAGAACATTTAGTGGATCTAAAGTCTGATGGAAAAATTAGATTAAAATCAAGCTTGTGGACGCCTGGCGATAATAAGAAAGTGATCATAGTGTTATTTGATTCAAGTAAAACTAGTGTCAATAATTGACAATTGATAGAGTTCTGATAACTATTTAGAAAGTTTGAGTTTTTATTGTTTTGTCTTTTTGTCAGTCGACTCTGAGAAATTTTATATAGAGATCATTAAAAGGTAAACTATTCTGTCACAATTTATGTACGTTTCAGTCTGATTAAAATAGCCGACATAAAGTTTCCGAGAGTTATTGATAAGTTCATTTAATACACACGAATATCAGTTAGATATACAAGATTAAGAGATCATCAATGTAGTCGAATTTTTTGAGAAACCACGTGCCATACACGAAATTTAATTAGGTCATTCATATTAGCACAAGTGCATCGCAAAAATAATGCATGTGGATTCGCAAATACCTCGAGTAGTTAATAAAAGATAGCCTAGGCATGTTAGCAGATAATTTTACAGACAGTGTGTAAAATAGCTTATCACTCAATTTGGATTGAGTTTGTTAGGTCAGTGTCAAGGATTTATATCGCTTCAATCACTGTAATAAGCTTGTTTTATGCAAGCTGTGTTACATTGATAGCTGTGTAGATTGAGGTATGTGATACTATAATTCGTCGTCCCGATTCATTGAGTTCTTGAGATGATTAAATAAGGCCTTTGAGAAGTGAGCGTATAGTATTAACGTTAAAGTAAAACATTTTCCATTGATATGTATTATTTCTGTATTTACGATTTAAATAGTTTACTGTTTGAGTCATTGGAAGTTTTCAATCAGAAAGGTTGACCTGTATTGTTAAAGATCGATAGTGCCGTGTTTTATATTTGTCCTGAATTAAAGAATGTGTTTGATAAAAAGAGTAATAATAAGGAAATTCTTCGTTCTTAAGTCACAAGTTGTTATAGATTTAGATTGAATGTTTAACTAAGGACTTTAGTATGTATAGTCTTCAACATTTAATAATGTTTGAGGCCTCCATCATATGCTGTGTGATGACGACCCTAGAGTAGTGTACGTTTTGTCTTATTCATGCTTCGTCTTATAATTAGTGTGATACAGCATGTATATTTTAATAATTCATAAAGCACGTTTATCAGAAATGAGTATAAGCTTGAACGCATATTGTATATGAGATGTTATAATTTTGTTACAAGAAAGTTAAAGATTATTATGCTAAAAGGTAAAAATTACGATCTTAAACATTGGGACTTTATAGATTTATGGAATAAGGATTTTTCAGACTAGTTATAATTGCTAATTTCGTTATTTATTATTTTAGATGTGGTCTACCAGTAATTTGACTGTATCTATGCTTACTAAATCGAGTTCATGTTATTCTCGTTTCCAAAAACAAAAGTTACGGACTTATCCTATCCTACCTATGAGCCTGTACATGGATAGTGGCAGATAGTGTGATGTTTTTATTAAGCGAATCGTAAAGTAATAATAATTGTAAGTATCTGCAAAAACTATTCACACTGAGCGTAAAACTTGATTAAGTTTTCCTACAATCTATAGATTGTGGAGACGAATGCGTCTATCTATGTGAGAAGTAATTGTTTTATATACATGTCTTATAAGATATGCAGCGACTTACGATATGGAATAATTTAGGACAGAACAAATAAAGTTTAACGAATAAATGACTAAGCAACCAGATATACCTTAGGTCCGCCAGAAAATGCATAGGACGAACCCCTTCTATACTCCCATTCAAGCATTTTCACACGGTGAGTCTTGAAATAATTGCCAACATTTTCCCTTTGCAGTGTATCAATATACATGTATCCAATATCGTGATAAGAAATAATTAGTAGTTATGACACTAAAAACTGATAATACATAACGGCGTGTTACAAGTGTTGAAGAGTAAACGAAGTGCTGTATGACTTATTTGGTTATATGAAATATTGCATCAACATATAGGCATGGTTTGAGAAGAAAAGTTAAAGCCTTACACTTTTACACTAATTGGAAGAATAAGTAAGATATATATGTACATATACCTTTGGTAAATTCCTGCAGGAATAAGTGTCAGTATATATCGAATTGCAGCTGCATCAAAAATTGACGTCACATCCGGATAGATATCCGATTTGTAACCTGAATATAAAAGATGGAGAGATAGATTTATTAAAAGATGTTCAATACATGATAAAATGATAACACATGTATAAGAAATGAAACATTCTCAATACATCATTTCTAAGGGATAACACAAAAGAGAACTTTATCACTTATTTCTATTGTAAAGAAACGTGTATTTCACATTCTTCAATGTACATGTATCTTGTATTTTTTTAAATGAACGTTTGTGAATGGTATTCCTCCTTTTTGCAAGATCAAATCAATAATGTTTAAGTGAGTAAATAGTGGTAATTGATTTACCCGTATTAATGCTTGGCAAAACTTTGACCTAGCAGTTCTGGAAGCCACTCATACAATAATATTCACTCACTGAAAACAAACCAGCAAATTACTTCCAGGACTAGGAATTATAGCATGTATTTCAGAAGATTCCTTAGGGTCATCAATTTAATTAAAGTTGGTTAAATCTATATAAAAAATCTATACTTTTTATTGAAGATGAAATATATTGTTTAATTTCACTATAGGTGAAGGGTACGAACTGAGGTAGTACAATAGCTATCTTATAATTTTTCATAAATCACGAGAAATTTATTATAAATATTTTTATGATAAGCATTATTTGATAACCGTATTTTTCTAAATGTTATAGCTGTTCTAACCTAACAAATATCCAAATTAACAGCATATTCTAATTTGAGAGACTTTGGAGTGAAGTCATAATTCCCATTTTACTGTCTGCGAAAAATTTCATGCAAAATGTGGCCGTGTAGATTCTATAGTTTCTTAACTAGAGAAATTAGATGGCATCGACAAACTACACTAAAAATCGAGGTAGTAAAAGAAAATAAAGTAAATGGGAGTGACTAGTAGTGCTGGATTTCGTGTTTACATTGTTAATATACGAAGCGTCTAAACCGATCAAAATATATAAAAATATAAGTAAATTAAGACATGTTGTTAGATAGGAAACTTGATAACTATGTAATATCCTAATGATATGTTTCAATCGTTCTGTAAGATTGACTATAAAAAATATAAAGAAAAAATCCGGAAATAAACTTTCAACTAAATGATACTATACTGAATAAGATGTCTTGAATATAACTATAACATCTATTACAAAAACATAATCAATGAGAGAATAAGAAAATATATAGTCATTTAGTTATCTTAAGATCAACTGAATTTAATGACAGAAACAAGAATGTAATCACTACCCCAGAAGAATTATTGAAATACATACGAAACGTATCTTAGTGTACATTTAACTTCTTATAATACAAGTAAATTTAAAGTAATCAAAATATCTTATATTAATCGTGAATCTCACGCATAAAGTTATATAAACATCATAAAGAATGATAATCTTAATTACCAGTAATCAAACTGGTCATATAAATTCGTGAGTTTATCGGTCGGTTCAATGTTGCAATCCCTTCTTCATTTTTCCTGCTGTGGATATTTCTGACCAAGCATTCCAGATGCAAGTTTTAGGGGACTGTTGTTTTAGTACAAGGGCACGAACGGTTTCATAGCACAAAAACTGCCATCATAGCTTGTTGCTTTGTTCACTAAATGACAATATATTAACACTTAAGTCAACTGCTCCACCTCAAACCTGTCATCTCACCAATTGTTATATACAAATTTCCCTTTGCAATATAAATATATCTGATTATGCTAATTTTTTTATAATAAATGAGAATGTATGACATAATATTAACTAAGAACGATGATTAATTGTACTGTTACGAGAATATTTGGGTGATTGACCTGTCTCTTGTGTGTGAAATCTCATCATACGGTAGGTCTGTGTACCCGTGCAAGCTTTGTACAATTCCGTACATTTGTAAGGGAATAGACAGATTCTTACGGATCATGTCGTATATCTGTTGAATCTTCCATTGAACAAGAATGACCTATTTGAAGAACACTGTATCTATTAGTTTCTATAATTTCTGCAAGCACTGCATCACTCTCTACGGACTGCTTTCATAAAATTAAAATTTATTTGAATCCAACTAGAATGAAGATAAAATATTCATACTTTCGTTTCCATATATAAACCTATTCGGGCCATAAGAAAAGATGCAAGATATCCGGTTTTAAAGATTTGATACTACTTAATTGCCCTTTCAAAACATATTTTTTAGATGAGATATAATATAATTCACCCTCATTAAATCTGTACTTGTTCTGATTACAATTTAATATGAACTTCCTGAAAGAAAGAGCAAAACAGTGATTGTCCAGGATTACTTTGTATGTGTGAAAATGTTCTGCATTTATTATAATTTTTTATGAAATATGTTCGCTTATAAGCCTTGGACTTGGTCGATCTCGTCCTGATACTTTATAAGTATAATCGGAGTAATCCGTCGTTATGTTCTGCTTGAGCGGTTTCCCTAACACGAATAAATGTAAAAAGATATACATGTCAAGTACCAAAACGTGCAACTGAATATGAATTAGCTTGACTATTATATATTATAACTCTTTCCCTTATAAAACAACTCTTACTGGAGGCTGGTGGTCCTCCAAATGTGCACATTTGTACGTGCCTAAATATGTTACTGTAATAAAACGAAATTCTTTATCTGTAAAATCTATAATAAGAACAACGAGATTCTTTATCTGTACAAAACTATAATAAGAACAACGAGATTCTTTATCTGTACAAAACTATAATAAGAACAACGAGATTCAATATATTTGAATATAACTATGACCACAATAGGATTCTTTATTTGTAAATATAACTATAATAATCTATCTTTGAATATATACATAATTTAATGACTGTTTGTACAAGTAAGTACAATGAGCACAATAAGATACCTGTAATGCCTAACTTGGTATTATCTGTCCATATATCTGTACATACATTCTATATACTAATGTCACAGGGTGAGAAAAATGTGCAGCCTGGACCCGAACCCGGGACCCTCGGAATACCGTACCGCGGCACTACCGACTGAGCTATCCGGCCGCTTACACATCTTCTCCCCTAAATAGTGAACAGTTCTGAACCGTGACACTAGTATGTATAATAAGCGCTAAAAGATACCAAAAATATATCTAAACTTGAAATTTTAAGTTAACATTAACGAAATAATATGATACTGTTGTTGTTGTTGCTGTTATGAATAAATATGTTTTATAAGTAGGTACCTGCACTTCCTTGGCTTGGTATTATCAGGTTATTAAAATAACCATCGAATCTCTGTTGTGAAAAACCGCTCACTAGAAATAATAAAAAGTATAGATTGGCGATTTATTTTTCATATGAAAACAAGATATGTGAACATACAAATATCTAAATTAAAGACAAATGTTGTACATTGTAACAGGAAGCAAATAGCGTGCGTAACGTAAACTCCGTTACCACCAATAAAGTAAGTGATTCTCTATATATAGATGATATTTGTTTGATTTGAGTGAATTTGCTTTATATCACACTGGGAAGAAAAAGTATGCTAAACAAGATGACATTTGACGTATATTAACGGCTGCCTGTACAAACCAAAGTAATTACAATAGTAATTCAAGTTGAGTCATCATTGCGGCGTAATTTTTAACCTTTTTAGTAAAGTTATTATATTTGAGTCGTGAATCATGCCATTAAGAACAAAAGCCAACAACTGATTTTTCTATAATTTTTCATATTAATGAATTACGCAAAATAATACACACGTCAATATAACGGTGTTCAGCTATATCAGCAACACTGTGAGATTTACTGTACGTGATATATAGACTTTATTTCACAGATTTCAGTAACATGGGAAATAAATGATTAGTTACATGGGATTTCGGTGATTATTTTCACGGGATGTGAGTGATTAGTTACACGGGATAAAAGTATGTTATGAATGACACAGTTTAAAGTCAACTTCCATTAAAGAATATTGTATCGTAATTAGGTGAATTATCATTATAAATATTTAAATCACAATCTTATTATGGTATCTTGTAGTATATTGTTACTAGGATACGTGATAAAACAGGATGTCAAACTGATTTATCTCGACAGAATGATATACGTGCGCAAAATGAATCAGCTTGTTTTTATAAATTACCCATTTATTGACAGTATGAGAAATCCTTATGTAGCAAATAGTTCTGAAGACAGGTTCTTTAAGTGCATTCTAAAGTATTAGTTTCTTCTGATAATAAGTTGAACCTAAACTTGTTTAAATGTTTCTTTTTCCTACAATTATCTGTGGCTTATAATGTCATTTTCACCCTGGATATATAAATATGTTAGCAAAAGTATTAGGGATCCTTTTTATGAATTATGAGTAATACAAAAAAAGTATTTGAAACATGAAAACATGTTTAAATGACACTATCTTGGCATGAAGTTTCACGTACTTAAATTTCAGTTCAATAAAATTTGTTAACATGTCGCGTTTATTGCGTGATTGGCTTGGCCATTTCATTGACCAATCAATGTTGCCACACGAATTAATCTTTACAATTGATATACTATTTATTCGTTTTTGTTTGTTGATTTTTATGACTTACCCCGTTATAACTGATCGTCTTGATACAATTTCTTACATTTATTGTAAAAATAGTGAACTGTGATAATCGTACAATTTGTTATAGATACGAAAGTACCGAAAGTACCACATTTTCAAAGAAAAAAAGATACGATGACCTAAAACATTTTTTTCAAAAATTCTTAAATGCTTAAAATTTCCTCATGACTAGAACTGGGTATAAGAAACTTACCATGTCCAATATAAACTATAACTTGTAAACTGATGAGAACAAATGATCGTTCCATGCTGATTATGTCCCTTTAGTTACCGCCATATATGAGAAATCTACAATAAAACAAAAATACAAAAACACATGTAGGTTTTATTTATAAATACAATGTATACTGTCTAAAATCATAATATTATGATAACATTGCAAAATATACATATATACACACTATGTAACACAACATAAGAAACTTAAAATACAATGCAACAGAAGAGAAATCTTTAATTATTTATGTATCAATAACAAATATATCAAATGCAGAATTTCAGAAAATAAAAAAAAGAATCTAAAATTCAACTTTTTTACATAAAAGAATTTGCTGTAAAAAAACTAAAAAATATGCGTATTGTACTGCAATATATCCTCACTTACTTGTTCCACAATAATTTGAAAATGAGAGTACTAAAATAAATGGACAAACATTACAATGAGAATGTTTACAGGTATGAAAGGTATGACTATAACATCCTTGTTCTGTAAAACGTTCAACTATAAAACCACAAGAAAACTCCTTAATTAAACCGCAGACCATAACCAATCAAACAATATATAAATAGTTTACATTAAACACATACATAAATATATGAGTTAAATCATTATATCAATTATATCATGTATGCAGGAACTTCCATCAGTTTTGGTCTACCAAGTTGTTCTCAATAAGCATTACTGATTGGATGGACAACATTACGTGAACATGATATGTTAGTTCGCTAGTTGATATCCGGATATGTTTAATAAATCTATAAATATTTTGTTAAGTAGTTAAACTAATATCAAAATACAGAAGTTTTTAAACAATCAATTTTCAATCATATATATATATATATATATATATATATATATATATATATATATATATATATATATATGCATGTACATATTTCAGGAAATATGGCTTGATGAACTTACTTCAGATATTGTAATTATAATGACAGCCAATATGATACCTTATTATAATATATAACACCGTTATTTAGATTTTGAAATGGTCTCGCAGTATGTAATATATAAAATATTTATATAGTTAATTAACATAGCTGATTTCATTAACGATATATTTATATTCTTCATCTTATACAAATACGTAGCAATTAAAATGGCGTGTACTCAGCAATGTTTGCAAGATTAATACTAAAATGATGGTAAATAAATGAGATGATATTAATAAATGACACACAGCCTTGTAAATATTTTTTCTACAAGAATAAACCAAAAGTCAGATATAAAAACTACATTTCAAAAGTGTGCAGTATCTTAAATTACGGTGACGTATGTCTAAAAGCTTGATAAGATCAAAATGTGAAATATTTTATTGATCAAGATAAACGCAATGAACTAAAGAAAAAATCACTATCAAGTATATTGTTATTGGACACTTTACATAGGGATTAAAATGTTTGAGATTTTACAGAGGAACTTCGTTGCGTGATGACAAAATATTGTTGTTAAGAGCTTAATGGATTGTAAAGATTTAATGTGACGTAATTTCGGTAACTTCAATTCCCATTTATAAACGTAACGAACTCGCAAAATGTCGGTATCAATATTTTATTTGTTATTTTCTAGCCAATAACATTTAATAGGTTATACACTAAATGCACAATGTAGTCATCTATATTTTATTTGTTATAAACTAAGTGCACAATGTAGTCATCTATATTTTATTTGTTATAAACTAAGTGCACAATGTAGTCATCTATGTTTTATTTGTTATAAACTAAGTGCACAATGTAGTCATCTATATTTTATTTGTTATAAACTAAGTGCACAATGTAGTCATCTATATTTTTTATTTGTTATACACTAAGTACACAATGTAGTCATCTATGTTTTATTTGTTATAAACTAAGTGCGCAATGTAGTCATCTATGTTTTATTTGTTATACACTAAGTGCCATTGTAGTCATCTATGTTTTATTTGTTATAAACTAAGTGCACAATGTAGTCATAAATATTTTATTTGTTATAAACTAAGTGCACAATGTAGTCATTTATGTTTTATTTGTTATAAACTATGTGAACAATGTAGTCATCTATGTTTTATTTGTTATAAACTAAGTGCGCAATGTAGTCTTCTATATTTTTTATTTGTTATAAACTAAGTGCACAATGTAGTCATAAATATTTTATTTGTTATAAACTAAGAGCACAATGTAGTCATCTATGTTTTATTTGTTATAAACTATGTGAACAATGTAGTCATCTATATTTTATTTGTTATAAACTAAGTGCACAATGTAGTCATCTATATTTTATTTGTTATAAACTAAGTGCTTAATTGTAGTCATCTATGTTTTATTTGTTATAAACTAAGTGCACAATGTAGTCATCTATGTTTTATTTGTTATACACTAAGTACACAATGTAGTCATCTATAGTTTTTATTTGTTATACACTAAGTGCCATTGTAGTCATCTATGTTTTATTTGTTATAAACTAAGTGCACAATGTAGTCATCTAGTTTTTATTTGTTATAAACTAAGTGCACAATGTAGTCATCTATATTTTATTTGTTATAAACTAAGTGCACAATGTAGTCATCTATATCTTATTTGTTATAAACTAACTGCACAATGTAGTCATCTATGTTTTATTTGTTATAAACTAAGTGCACGATGTAGTCATCTATATTTTATTTGTTATAAACTAAGTGCACAATGTAGTCATCTATATTTTATTTGTTATAAACTAAGTGCGCAATGTAGTCTTCTATATTTTTTATTTGTTATAAACTAAGTGCACAATGTAGTCATAAATATTTTATTTGTTATAAACTAAGAGCACAATGTAGTCATCTATGTTTTATTTGTTATAAACTATGTGAACAATGTAGTCATCTATATTTTATTTGTTATAAACTAAGTGCACAATGTAGTCATCTATATTTTATTTGTTATAAACTAAGTGCTTAATTGTAGTCATCTATGTTTTATTTGTTATAAACTAAGTGCACAATGTAGTCATCTATGTTTTATTTGTTATACACTAAGTACACAATGTAGTCATCAATAGTTTTTATTTGTTATACACTAAGTGCCATTGTAGTCATCTATGTTTTATTTGTTATAAACTAAGTGCACAATGTAGTCATCTAGTTTTTATTTGTTATAAACTAAGTGCACAATGTAGTCATCTATATTTTATTTGTTATAAACTAAGTGCACAATGTAGTCATCTATATTTTTTATTTGTTATACACTAAGTACACAATGTAGCCATAAATATTTTATTTGTTATACACTAAGTGCACAATGTATTCATCTATATTTCATTTGTTATAAACTAAGTGCACAATGTAGTCATCTATATTTTATTTGTTATACACTAAGAACACAATGTAGTCATAAATATTTTATTTGTGATACACTAAGTGCACAATGTAGTCATCTATGTTTTATTTGTTATACACTAAGAACACAATGTAGTCATAAATATTTTATTTGTGATACACTAAGTGCACAATGTCATCATCAATATTTCATTTGTTATACACTAAGTACAAAATGTAGTCATCAATATTTTATATCTATACGCGAAGTGCACAATGTAGTCATCTATATTTTATTTGTTATAAACTAAGTGCACAATATAGTCATCTATATCTTATTTGTTATAAACTAACTGCACAATGTAGTCATCTATGTTTTATTTGTTATAAACTAAGTGCACGATGTAGTCATCTATATTTTATTTGTTATAAACTAAGTGCACAATGTAGTCATCTATATTTTTTATTTGTTATACACTAAGTACACAATGTAGCCATAAATATTTTATTTGTTATACACTAAGTGCACAATGTAGTCATCTATATTTCATTTGTTATAAACTAAGTGCACAATGTAGTCATCTATATTTTATTTGTTATACACTAAGAACACAATGTAGTCATAAATATTTTATTTGTGATACACTAAGTGCACAATGTAGTCATCTATGTTTTATTTGTTATACACTAAGAACACAATGTAGTCATAAATATTTTATTTGTGATACACTAAGTGCACAATGTCATCATCAATATTTCATTTGTTATACACTAAGTACAAAATGTAGTCATCAATATTTTATATCTATACGCGAAGTGCACAAAGTAGTCATCAATATTTTATTTATATACACTACGTACACAATGTAGTCATAAATATTTTATTTGTGATACACTAAGTGCACAATGTAGTCATCAATATTTCATTTGTTATACACTAAGTACAAAATGTAGTCATCAATATTTTATATCTATATGCGAAGTGCACAAAGTAGTCATCAATATTTTATTTATATACACTAAGTACACAATGAAGTCATCAATATTTTATTTCTAAACACTAAATACACAATGTAGTCATCAATATTTCATTTGTTATACACTAAATGCACAATGAAGTCATCAATATTTTACTTGTTATACACTAAATACACAATGCTGTCATACAAATTTAGTCATCAATGTTTTATTTATAATACAATAATTACACAATGTTGTCATCGATATTTATGTGTTTTACACTAAATACAGAATGTAGTCATCGATATTTTATTTGTTTTACACTCAATACAGAATGTAGTCATAGATATTTTATTTGACTAAAGGAAGACTTTACATCCCAGTATAACCTGTACTTGACAAGGTTGGCTAACTATCCAGGTATAACCTGTATATGACAAAGGTTGGCTAAACATCCCAGTATAACCTGTACATGACAAGGTTGGCTAACTATCCAGGTATAACCTGTATATGACAAAGGTTGGCTAAACATCCCAGTATAACCTGTATATGACAAAGGTTGGCTAAACATCCCAGTATAACCTGTACATGACAAGGTTGGCTAACTATCCAGGTATAACCTGTATATGACAAAGGTTGGCTAAACATAACCAGTATAACCTGTATAAGACAAAGGTTGGCTAAACATCCCGTTATAACCTGTATATGACAAGTGTTGGATAAACATCCCGGTATAACCTGCACATGACAAGTGTTGGCTAAACATCCCGGTATAACCTCCACATGACAAAGGTTGGCTAAACATCCCAGTATAACCTGTATATGACAAGGTTGGCTAAACATCCCGGTATAACCTGTACATGACAAGGTTGGCTAAACATCCCGTTATAACCTGTATATGACAAGTGTTGGATAAACATCCCAGTATAACCTGCACATGACAAGTGTTGGCTAAACATCCCGGTATAACCTGCACAATGACAAAGGTTGGCTAAACATCCCAGTATAACCTGTATATGACAAAGGTTGGCTAAAACATCCTGGTATAACCTGTATATGACAAAGTTTGGCAAAACATCCCGGTATATACCTGTATATGACAAAGGTTGGCTAAACATCCCGGTATAACCTGTATATGACAAAGGTTGGCTAAACATCCCGGTATAACCTCCACATGACAAAGTTTGGCTAAACATCCCGGTATATACATGTATATGACAAGTGTTGGCTAAACATCCCGGTATAACCTGC